TGGAATGTCACCCTGTCTTCTTTATCTTTGTAAAACGAGCAAGTAACATTGAAAATGTTCACATCTTTCTCAACCAATCAGATTACGAGATTTTAACAGAAGTATAATAAATATATATATTAACGAAGAGGAAAGAAAAAGGAGGAGAAAAGCGCATTTAAGAAGAATTAAAAAGAAGAAGAAAGGGAGAGAGAAACTTGGACGATAATAGACCTATCAAGTTGCATTATATATTATTTATTATTTAGTTTTTAATGGCGATTAGGACTATATAAGACAAGTTTACAGTTCTCGTCAGAACGGTTGACGTAGAAGAACTTTAATAGAATTATTGCAATATACGAGAGATATCATCAATCAACACTTCTTGTTGTTGTCGAGTATTCCGTCTTTTCATATTGCAGAGTTATCTGCTCTTGTTAGCAGGTATTGATTGTTACGTCAATAGTTTGTGTGAGAAAATTACGTCGTTTTCTCAAAAATTGATGACATTACTCTCACAAACAAATGACGCAACAATCAATACCTGCTCAAAAGAGCAGATAACTCTGCAATAAGAAAAGACGGAATAAAGGAAAATCTACAGCATTTTCACATTCATTCCCACATGCACAAACCGGTCACTTATAATATTAACTCTGTAAATCATCTTGCCATATATTGGCATACAAGTTATAATCAAAACTATACAATCATATTTACGCAATTACTGGGAAGTTCAAAAAGTGGTCTCTTAAACACAAGTGTTTTCTTAATAGAGGTTTGTCGCATGAACGTGTTAGATTGTACTTATGGTACTGATTTGATTAAACTTTCAGTCACTGAATACGTAAACCGAACCACTTTCATGTTATGGTATGCGTATCTAGCGAATGAAAATCTAAAAAAAACAACATTATTGGTTATTGCGTGCCCATGTGATTAATCCGATTACAATACAATTTTAGCTCCGTTGCGTAATAGAAATTAAAAATACTACACGTAATGATGAAGACTAGTCAATTTAAAACTAACTATACAAACAGAGATTGCAAAATTTGTATCTTTAAATGTGAAATACAAATACTCTTTAAATATGATAGATAGCAGGTATTTTGAGATATCGTTATTGTTTATAAACTAATTTAAAGAGTTGTCTCAGTAATATAAAACTCTTTCATGCCAAGATCTTCCACCTCTTTCTTGATCTGCTCTATATTAAAAACACGAAAAGGAAACTATAAAGTTTGTTTGACTCTCCTTTCTCAATGAGCACAAAAATGAAAACAAATGGATATAACGATAAAGAAAATTATAAATCGAAGCAAAAGATTTCAACCATTTTTGAAGCACATACTCCGCAGAACCATGACGCCAAATGAGATTCCTTGACTGAAATAAAGGCATGTGCTGTTTAAATTAAATTTGGCAGTAATTTAAACATTTGCTTCATTCAACACAAATCCGGGTCTTTCAGGTGCTTTTTACTTCATCTATGTCACTGAAATGCTTCTAGATCTCGGTCATTGAAACACTTTTTAACTCATCTGCGTCACTGAAATGCTTGTAAGTCTGGGTCGTTCAAACGTTTATAATACAAATCTGGGTCTTTCAGGTGCTTTTTACTTCATCTGTGTCACTGAAATGCTTGTAAATCTGGGTCGTTCGAACGTTTTAAATACAAATCTTGGTCATTGAAACGCTTGTAAATCTTGGTCGTTCAAACGTTTGTAATACAAATCTGGGTCTTTCAGGTGCTTTCTACTTCATCTGTGTCACTGAAATGCTTGTAAATCTGGGTCTTTCAAACCTTGGTCTTTTGGACTCTTTATACTTTATCTGGGTCACTAGAAAGCTTGTAAATCAGGGTCTTTCAAACCCTTTAAATTTATCTATGTCAGTGAAAAGCTTGTAAATCTGGGTCTTGTGAGCGCTTTTTACTTCATGTTAGACACTAGAAATATTGTAAATCAGGGTCATGCGAATGTTTTAAATACAAATCTAGGTCTGTCGGAACGTTTACTTCGAATCGTGTATCCGGTTGAACCTGTAAAGAAAACGACAGGTCCAGATTTGGACCGAGGCTGACCTCAGGAAAATTTGGTACGTGTAGATTGAGGGGTCCAGACGTACCTGACCGAAACTAAAATGCTGACTATTGCCAATTTGCGTTATTTCTTTCTTAAACAATGTCAAGTCTCATGTAATTTTTAAGACACGTTATGTTATTTAGTGGACGCGTGAGAGAAGGATATAATATTCTTGATTCGTTGTTTTTTATTCTCCGAAACTGGATTTTTAGCTCTGCTTATAGAATGGTCCAAGTATGTTCGTTTATCGTGGAAAATTTCTGCGCCACACGTACCGTTTTAACCGGGATACGCGAATGTAGCCTTTATCTATGCTTGTAAATCTGACTCTTTTTGCTTTATCTGTGTCACTTAAGAGCTTTAAATCTGGGTCTTTTCGAAGCTTTTTTCAAGTGTGTTCAAGAATTGTAAATTGAGGTTTTAATGTTTCTAATACAAATCTAGGTGTTCCATTAGGTCACATTCACTTATCCGGTTGAACCTGTTAAGAAAAGGGCAGCCACAGATCTGAACCGACACCGACCTCGAGGAAATTTGGCATGTGTAGATTGAGGGGTCCAGACGTACCTGACCGAAACTAAAATGCTGACTATTGCCAGTTTGCGTTATTTCTTTCTAAAACAATGTCAAGCCACATGTAATTTTTAAGATAAGTTATGTAAATCAATGGATGCGTCAAAGAAGGGCATAATATTCTTGACATTGTTTTTTATTCTTCGAATCGGTGCATTTTCAGTGCTGATTATAGAACGGTCCAAGTCCGTTCGTTTATCGTGGAATATTTCTGCGCCACCTGTACCGTTTCAACTGGGATAAGCGGGAAAAAAACAAGTTGTCCTGCCATCAATGTCACTAAAATGCTTGTAATTCTGGAGTGCTTTTATTTTAAATCTTGGTATTTCTTTGATTGTGATCCAAACGGTTGAACCGATTGGCCCAGAGTTCGTTTATGAAATAAGGTCGGGCCTTGAAATCCAAAGCTTCATTCAGGTGAGCGCTAACAAAGCATTGCAAGGCCCGTTTCCCCTATTAGGCCCCGCCCCTCTGCCTCCAAGGGGGTCAGACCCACCATTTATACAAAATTAATTTCCCTTCCCCATAGTATGCTACTGTTCAAATTTTGTCAAAATACCTTCATCCCAACGGAAAAAGAAGGATATTAAAGCTATTCCTCTATATCCCTATTTGGCCTCGCCTCTCTGCCCCCAGAGGGGTCAGACCAACCATTTAAAAAAAAATTGGTTCCCCTTTTCCCAAGGGTGCTTCATACCAAATTTGGACAAAATCCTGTCATTCCTACAGAAGAAGGATTTAGAAGAATTTGCTATGATTTCCTATTCGGCCCCCACCCCTCTGCCCCCAGGGGGGTCAGAACAACCGTTTATACAAAATTAAGTCCCCTTCACCCAAGGATACTTCAGACCAAATATGGACAAAACCCTGCCATTCCTACAGAAGAAAAAGAGTTTTAAAAAATTTGCTAAATTACCCCTAATGGGCCTACCCCTCTGCCCCCAGGGGAGCCACATCCTCGTTTAACAAAATTGAATTCCCCTTGCCCAAGGATGTTATAGACAAAATTTGGTTAAAATCCCTCAATCTGTACAGAAGAAGAAGAAATTAAGATTTACCTCTATTTCCTTACTTGGCTGCGCCCGTCTGCCCCCAGGGGAGCCACACCCTCCGTTTCTACACAATTGAATCCCCTTTGGTTGAGGATACTCCAGGCCAAATTTAGGTAAAATCCACTAAGCTGTTCAGGACAAGTAGCGTTTTAAAGGAAATGTTGACGAACGGACGCTGCGCCATGGCATAAGCTCACTTGCCCTTTGCGCAGGTGAGCTAAAATATTGACAGTGGACAGACAGAAGACGCCGCACTACGCCATAAGTTTCGGGTCAGGTGAGCTAAAAATGCATTCTCTTAGTTTTGTGACAAATAAAATATCAAGAACAACATGTCCTTCTTTCACGCGTCAACTAAATTTTATTACATATCCTAAAATCAACCTTATATATACATGTGACTCGACCTTAGAAATAATGGAAACTTGTGCAGGCAACACTTTGTTTTCGACGGGCACATCTGGACCCCTCGACATGCACTTTCTGAATATTCCTGTTAGGAATTATTATAAAATTAAGTGCACACATGAAATAAGGACATATTATTCTTGAGTTATCTTAATCATTTTGTTACAAATCTTCCGACACTGTGCACTTATAAGCTCTGCCTAAAACGTTGGCAGTTCAGGTCAAAGTGATTTGTTTATAGCGGAATATTTCTGCACCACCTGAAACGATTCAACTTGGAAACACAAAAGCCACCTAAGTGATGAAAACCGCCGTCTTTCAGGTGCTTATTTTTGAGACGTTTGCCCTTCATTTGTCTCAAATCGTTTGTAAATTGGGATTTTTTTTTTAGCAAAATCTAGGCCAATTCAACGCTTTTTCACGAAAATGCTTGTAAACCCACAAAGCTATGATATATGAAGCAGTCTCATTGCATTTTGTTAAGCTTCAAACTTCCTGAATCAACTTTTATAGGGCTTTCAGATTTAACATGCTGCCCTATGTGGCCAATCGATTCCTACACATGCCATATTTTTTTTTACTTTCATGAATGAACCAATAAATTGCCCAACAGATGAAATATGTCCGACCATCTATGACCGCTGGTTTTCGGCTGATGGGTTGTGGGTTTCAAAGCCTACATGGGGCAGTCGCCAGGTACATGCCACAAGTCAGTGTTTTTTCTGCAGGTACTCTGGTTTTCCTCCACCACCAAAACATGGCTCGTCCTGAAATGACCATAGCTGTTAATATGACATAAAGTACAAACAAATAAAACTTTTTCCCCCATCCTAAACTCTGTAAAACACAGAACAGCAACTGATTTAGGTTTCTGAACAGAGGACAAAAATTCACATGGTACAAAAATGATTTTATTTTAAAATAAATTCTCACATGTTCAAATTTTGCATACAAAGAATAGCTCCTTCAGGATTCTGTCTTTATACAAATTAACATACCAAAACAAATATGTCCTCATTTTAGAATTTTCTTAATTTAACTTCTCTTGCTTACTTCTATACAACATATCATTTGAATGTTCCTATAGTAGATCAACAATGCTTATGTCATGCTCGGCAGTAATGCCTCTAGCACAATTTATCTGCGAAGTAGATCTTGAGGACGGTCCAAGCACACTTGTTTTGATTTTGATGTTCCAGAACAGTATTCACTATACAGGACATTCATTCAATCATAGTGAAGTAGTATTTTGAATGTCCCGAGTACAGTTGTGTAAAATTTCCAGGACATCCCAGCACGCAGTAGTGTGAAATATTTAGACATCCTAGTACAGTGATTTACACTTTGCGGGTCATCCAAACAAAGTGATGAAGGCATTGTGGGACCTCACAGCACAATAATGTCAGTTTTTAGCACAGTGGCATAAACACTGGAGAACATCCAAACCAAGTGATGTAAACTTAGGGATACCTCAGTGCAGCGATGTAGTCTTTGGGGGACATCTCAGTGCAGTAATGTAGTCTTTGGGGGACATCTTGGCATCGCGATGTAGTCTTAAGGGGACATCTCTGCACAGTGGAGTAAACACTGACTGGAGGACATCCAAGCGAAGTGATGGATACTTGGCACATTTCAGCGTAGTGAAAAAAAGTCTTTTGAAAAAAATCCCAACACAGTGATGTAGTCTTTTGGGGACATCCCAACACAGTGATGTAGTCTTTTGGGGACATCCCAGCACAGTGATGTAGTCTTTTGGGGACATCCCTACACAGTGATGTAGTCTTTTGGGGAATTCTCAGCACAGTGATGTAGTCTTTCGGGGACATCCCAGCGCAGTGATGTAGTCTTTTGGGGACCGCACAACACAGTGATGTAGTCTTTTGGGGACCGCACAGCACAGTGATGTAGTCTTTTGGGGACATCCCAGCACTGTGATGTAGTCTTTGGGGGACATCCAAGCACAGTGATGTAGTCTTTGGGGACCATACAGCACAGTGATGTAGTCTTTGGGGACCATACAGCACAGTGATGTAGTCTTTAGGGGACTGCACAGCACAGTGATGTAGTCTTTGGGGACCATACAGCACAGTTATGTAGTCTTTGGGGACCATACAGCACACTGATGTAGTCTTTAGGGGACCGCACAGCACAGTGATGTAGTCTTTTGGGGACTGCCCAGCACAGTGATGTAGTCTTTTGGGGACTGCACAGCACAGTGATGTAGTCTTTGGGGGCCATCCAGCACAGTGATGTAGTCTTTGGGGACCATACATCACAGTGATGTAGTCTTTGGGGACCATACATCACAGTGATGTAGTCTTTGGGGACCATACAGCACAGTTATGTAGTCTTTGGGGACCATACAGCACACTGATGTAGTCTTTAGGGGACCGCACAGCACAGTGATGTAGTCTTTTGGGGCCATACAGCACACTGATGTAGTCTTTGGGGACCATACAGCACGGTGATGTAGTCTTTGGGGACCATAGAGCACAGTGATGTAGTCTTTAGGGGACTGAACAGCACAGTGATGTAGTCTTTGGGGACAATACAGCACAGTGATGTAGTCTTTGGGGACCGCACAGCACAGTGATGTAGTCTTTTGGGGCCATACAGCACACTGATGTAGTCTTTGGGGACCATACAGCACGGTGATGTAGTCTTTGGGGACCATAGAGCACAGTGATGTAGTCTTTAGGGGACTGCCCAGCACAGTGATGTAGTCTTTTGGGGACCGAACAGCACAGTGATGTAGTCTTTTGGGGACATCCCAGTACTGTGATGTAGTCTTTGGGGGACATCCAAGCACAGTGATGTAGTCTTTGGGGACCATAGAGCACAGTGATGTAGTCTTTAGGGGACTGCACAGAACAGTGATGTAGTCTTTGGGGACCATACATCACAGTGATGTAGTCTTTGGGGACCATACATCACAGTGATGTAGTCTTTGGGGACCATACATCACAGTGATGTAGTCTTTGGGGACCATACAGCATAGTGATGTAGTCTTTGGGGACCATACAGCATAGTGATGTAGTCTTTGGGGACCATACAGCGCAGTGATGTAGTCTTTGGGGACCATACAGCATAGTGATGTAGTCTTTGGGGACCATACAGCGCAGTGATGTAGTCTTTGGGGACCATACAGCGCAGTGATGTAGTCTTTGGGGACCATACAGCATAGTGATGTAGTCTTTGGGGACCATACAGCGCAGTGATGTAGTCTTTGGGGACCATACAGCGCAGTGATGTAGTCTTTGGGGACCATACAGCGCAGTGATGTAGTCTTTGGGGACCATACAGCGCAGTGATGTAGTCTTTGGGGACCATACAGCATAGTGATGTAGTCTTTGGGGACCATACAGCATAGTGATGTAGTCTTTGGGGACCATACAGCACGGTGATGTAGTCTTTGGGGACCATAGAGCACAGTGATGTAGTCTTTAGGGGACTGAACAGCACAGTGATGTAGTCTTTGGGGACAATACAGCACAGTGATGTAGTCTTTGGGGAGCATACAGCACAGTGATGTAGTCTTTGGGGGGCATACAGCACACGGATGTAGTCTTTGGGGGCCATACAGCACAGTGATGTAGTCTTTGGGGACAATACAGCACAGTGATGTAGTCTTTGGGGACTATACAGCACAGTGATGTAGTCTTTGGGAACCATACAGCACAGTGATGTAGTCTTTGGGGGGCATACAGCACACGGATGTAGTCTTTGGGGGCCATACAGCACACTGATGTAGTCTTTGGGGACCATACAGCACAGTGATGAAGTCTTTGGGGACCATACAGCACAGTGATGTAGGCTTTGGGGACCATACAGCACACTGATGTAGTCTTTAGGGGACCGCACAGCACAGTGATGTAGTCTTTTGGGGCCATACAGCACACTGATGTAGTCTTTGGGGACCATACAGCACGGTGATGTAGTCTTTGGGGACCATAGAGCACAGTGATGTAGTCTTTAGGGGACTGCCCAGCACAGTGATGTAGTCTTTTGGGGACTGCACAGCACAGAGATGTAGTCTTTTGGGGACCGCACAGCACAGTGATGTAGTCTTTTGGGGACATCCCAGTACTGTGATGTAGTCTTTGGGGGACATCCAAGCACAGTGATGTAGTCTTTGGGGACCATAAAGCACAGTGATGTAGTCTTTGGGGACAATACAGCACAGTGATGTAGTCTTTGGGGAGCATACAGCACAGTGATGTAGTCTTTGGGGACAATACAGCACAGTGATGTAGTCTTTGGGGAGCATACAGCACAGTGATGTAGTCTTTGGGGGGCATACAGCACACGGATGTAGTCTTTGGGGGCCATACAGCACACTGATGTAGTCTTTGGGGACCATACAGCACACTGATGTAGTCTTTAGGGGACCGCACAGCACAGTGATGTAGTCTTTTGGGGACTGCACAGCACAGTGATGTAGTCTTTGGGGACAATACAGCACAGTGATGTAGTCTTTGGGGACCGCACAGCACAGTGATGTAGTCTTTTGGGGACCGCACAACACAGTGATGTAGTCTTTTGGGGACATCCAAGCACAGTGGATTAGACACTGGAGGATATCCCAGTGAAGTGATGTTAACTGGGCACATTTCAGCACAGTGATGTAGTCTTTTGGGGGACAATTCTGCATAACAGTGCAAACTTTTGTGGGTTGTTCCATCGTTTACTCATCATTTGTCATTTACATCCTAAACAAAAGAAAAGCCTTTTAACTTTGGGATACAATTTTATACCATATGAGAACGGTAAACAGTTTATTTCTCCTACAGCTATGTTAACAGCATTCATAACTCTTGATGGAAGCATGCAGGGTGTCTTAATTTTCATCGCTAATTATTTCGGATTGCATTTTGTACAAAATTTCAGATTTCAGTCCAACAAAATGTTTTAAATAAGTAAGAGAGAAGAGAAGCAACTCAAGAATCCAGGTTTCCACAGCACCAATACAGTAATGGAAACATGGATTTAAGAGTTGCTACTCTTCTTTTTAATTTATTTATGTTAAGAGGGATGTCTGTATATAACTAGGTGTTCTACTGAAAGAATAAATATACCCTATGCTTATTAAATGTCAGTTCCAAAAACTGAATTAAAACACAAGTAACATTTTATAAGGTTTCAGTGAAAAAAACGAATGCAATAAGTTTGTCACGAATGCCAGTTGTGTAGTTATATAAAATGACCACGGATGTCAGGTCAAGTACTGCTTCAAAGGCCTCAATGTTATCTGCTTATGGCAACTAACATATTGTTGATAACTTTCAAATCTAGCTTATAGTTCATCATGTAAAGTCTTGACAGAAAACAAACTTTAACCCACTATTTCATAAGTGACAACAACTCTGGTTCAACCACTTGTAACATCCTTCAGAAATATTCTGTAACATCCTTCAGAAATATTCTATCGCAACAAGCTCAGGATAGGTTGGTTTCTTTATTGTATGTCTACCCGTTTCGCCCGAACATGTGGGGCTTCTTCAGGACCCAATTGAATATTGCCTTTAGTTTCCCGTTCCTCAATCGCCCTGCATACCCCTGGGTATCCAAGCAAGGGATAGCGGAACCTACAGAACCTAGATCAGAAGTACGGCGTTGGCTCTACACCCGATGATCCTTCAGAGATGATAAACAGTTATCATTACGTACCTGTTGTCATAAGGTCAGCAGCAGACTGTCAAAGTCAGGTGTACATACAAGTCTCTTGTTGACGTGGCCAAGCACGGCCATGTGGCCTGCATCTCCTCCGCTATAACTGGTTTCTACTGAAACTAAATCCTGAAAAATAAACAACAAGTTTCCCTTTTAGAATTGACTGCTTATATTGATTAATAAATGCATTTCAGCAGACAAATTAATAATATTACATACAACCAGTACACAATGAAAAATGTTCATTTTTCCTGGTTTGAGGGAGATTTGAAGATTTAATTACCTAAGGCAAATCATGAACCTTCATATTTTCTTCAAACAAGGATGATAAATAGTTTTTATTCTGACATTGAGGAGAGACTTTGCGGGGTTGGGCAAGGGAAGGGCGGCATTTAGAGAGGTAATCGTATTTCAGGAGGATGCCATGATTTTGTAACAGAAACTCAATGACTCGTCACCCAGCAACATGTAAGATCCAATGAATGAATACCAGGTAGAAAGTATACAGATGACACTTATTATATTTCCACATGATACAGTACAAACACCAAAGAAATACTCGGCTTACATGTACATCATCATACCATTTGGTGCAATAATTATTTGTTTTTTAAACAAAGCATGCTGTAACAGCTATTAAACAACTGTACACAGAATACCTGTAAGAATCCACATTTGGTTCCCATGGAAACGTCGAGTGTGATGTTGCCCAGCACTAGCTGTGTACGCCCCGACTTCCTCACCACCAGTTTACCCATGTATCCCTCGGAGAAATCGGAGAGGGAACAAGAACTCATCTTCTTGGCCAAGTCATCCTGAAATACAGAATTTTACAAGGATTATTTTTTCTCCTTAATCAGACTCAAAGATAAACTCACAAAATGCACATGTGGACAAAAACTGCTGTATCCATTGCAATATTTTGGTACATTGTATCTTTATATTTGTTCTAACTACCTTTTAATTCCTAGCATCTTGCTTGGTAATACCTCACTTTAGTTTAAAATGTTGAATGTTTGCCCAGGCAAAGAAGGCAATGGGTTCTATCGCCGGGCGAGGACATACCAAAGTCCTAAAAAATGATAGTTGTTAATCTCTGCTTGTCGTTTAGGGTAATGACAACATTTGCTTCACCCGTTGTCAGTATAACGTGACCTGGCGGAATGCTGTGCTGGGTGCATTCGGCATAGTCTTCATGTGAGATAGCACTATAAAGTCTGCCTCAGATCTGCTCTATCACAAGGAGGCAAATACACCAACGTCTCCGGCACACATACAAACATACACTTCGAGGCACGTCGTTAAATTACCTTAGGTGTTGATAGGACATTAAACCCTGCACAACCAACCTTAGCCACGGTCTGGGATTTCTGCCCGTCACCAAATGATTACCTACCCCATCTTTAGCTCTGGTTTTGGATTTCTTTCGACCATCACAAAATTACCTACCCCACCCTTAGCCCTATCAGCAAACAATGACCTACCCCACCCTTAGCCCTATCAGCAAACAATAACCTACCCCACCCATAGCCCTATCAGCAAACAATAACCTACCCCACCCTTAGCCCTAACAGCAAACAATAACCTACCCAATCCTTAGCCCTATCAGCAAACAATATCCTACCCCACCCTTAGCCCTATCAGCAAATAATAACCTACCCCACCCTTAGCCCTATCAGTAAATAATAACCTCCCCCACCCTTAGCCCTATCAGTAAATAATAACCTCCCCCACCCTTAGCCCTATCAGTAAATAATAACCTACCCCACCCTTAGCCCTATCAGTAAATAATAACCTACCCCACCCTTAGCCCTATCAGCAAACAATAACCTACCCAATCCTTAGCCCTATCAGCAAACAATAACCTACCCCACCCTTAGCCCTATCAGTAAATAATAACCTACCCCACCCTTAGCTCTATCAGTAAATAATAACCTACCCCTTATCCTTAGCCCCAGACTGGGATTTCTGCCGATCAGCAATCAATGACCTACTCCATCTTAAGCCCCTGTCAAATATCTATCACAATCACCAAATGATTATTTACCCCATCCTTAGCCCCAGTCTGGGATTTCTGCCTATCATCACACGATTACCTACCCCATCCTTAGCGCCGGTCTGGGATTTCTGCCTATCATCACACGATTACCTACCCCATTCTTAGCCCCAGTCTGGGATTTCTGCCTATCATCACACGATTACCAACCCCACCCTTAGCCCCAGTCTAGGATTTTTGCCTATCATCACACGATTACCAACCCCATTCTTAGCCCCAGTCTGGGATTTCTGCCTATCATCACACGATTACCTACCCCATTCTTAGCCCCAGTCTGGGATTTCTGCTTAACATCACACGATTACCTACCCCACCCTTAGCCCCAGTCTGGGACTTCTGCCTATCATCACATGATTACCTACCCCACCCTTAGCCCCGGTCTGGGATTTCTGCCTATCATCACACCATTACCTACCTCATCCTTAGCCCCAGTCTGGGATTTCTGCCTATCATCACACCATTACCTACCCCACCCTTAGCCCCAGTCTGGGATTTCTGCCTGTCATCACACGATTACCTACCCCATCCTTAGCCCCAGTCTGGGATTTCTGTCTATCATCACACCATTACCTACCCCACCCTTAGCCCCAGTCTGGGATTTCTGCCTGTCATCACACGATTACCTACCCCATCCTTAGCCCCAGTCTGGGATTTCTGCCTGTCATCACACCATTACCTACCCCATCCTTAGCCCCGGTCTGGGATTTCTGCCTATCATCACACCATTACCTACCCCATCCTTAGCCCCAGTCTGGGATTTCTGTCTATCATCACACGATTACCTACCCCACCCTTAGCCCCAGTCTGGGATTTCTGCCTGTCATCACACGATTACCTGCCCCATCCTTAGCCCCAGTCTGGGATTTCTGTCTATCATCACACGATTACCTACCCCACCCTTAGCCCCGGTCTGGGATTTCTGCCTGTCATCACATGATTACCTACCCCATCCTTAGCCCGGACTGGGATTTCTGCCTATCATCACACGATTACCTACCCCACCCTTAGCACCAGTCTGGGATTTCTGCCTACCATCACACCATTACCTCCCCCATCCTTAGCCCCGGACTGGGATTTCTGCCTGTCATCACATGATTACCTACCCCATCCTTAGCCCCGGACTGGGATTTCTGTCTATCATCACACTATTACCTACCCCACCCTTAGCCCTAGTCTGGGATTTCTGCCTACCATCACACCATTACCTACCCCATCCTTAGCCCCGGACTGGGATTTCTGCCTGTCATCACACGATTACCTACCCCACCCTTAGCCCCAGTCTGGGATTTCTGTCTATCATCACACGATTACCTACCCCACCCTTAGCCCCAGTCTGTGATTTCTGCCTATCATCACACGATTACCTACCCCACCCTTAGCCCCGGACTGGGATTTCTGCCTGTCATCACATGATTACCTACCCCATCCTTAGCCCCAGTCTGTGATTTCTGCCTATCATCACACGATTACCTACCCCATCCTTAGCCCCAGTCTGGGATTTCTGTCTGTCGTCACCATCTCCACCTCTATTGCTGGCTGGAACTCCAGGCATGGTATCAGGGAATTGGAAAAACATCAAGTCACTGTTTTCTACGTAGAGAAAGAAAATGACAAGCTTTTCAGGCATATTCTCTTCTGTCTTACCCTTAAACATGATTATTCAATATGAAGGAAATCTTGTTCTAGCAGATGATTAGATGTAAAACAATTGTTTTCTAAATTCAGAAAACTTTGCTCAGTCACTTAAATCTTCTGAAAAATGTAGTTTTGATATATACATTGCAACATACAAATGGCAAATGCAGTAATTTTAAGCACACTGATGACAAAGCAAAGACCCTTCATTAAGGTGAGCTTATTTTTTTTCAAAATACATTCGGCCATTCTTGACGTCTAGTTATCTTTCAAGGAAAAGTTGAAAGAGTGTCAACGGCAGCTACTGCATCAAAGCAAAAGCAACCTTGCCCTTATGGCAGATGAGCTGAATATTCAAAGGAAGAGTACTGTTTCTGATCTGACAGTTAACTGCATAAAATCTTAATTCATTTCTTTTTCTTAAAATTTCTTTTAATTTCAAGAGTCGCAAAAAAAATCTGAGGTTTACCAGTTTTCCCAAGGTTCGTAAAGAGCTGATCACAGCTCTCCTCAACCACAACTGGAGACTGCCTTAGTCCCGACACTTTGGGCGACTTGGAGTCAACACTGTCAATCTCCGCATCGAAACCAGGTTCCTCTGAAAGTGAAATCAAGTTATTGTTCGTACATGATGAAAGCAGTGCAGGTCTAGAGACAGCGTGACTGAATGGGTAGAGTTTTGGCCTAGCTACTGACCCCTAAAGGTTGTATGTTCAAACTGCACGGAAAGCATTTAGCAACTATTGTCGTGTCTTTGAACATGAAAATTTTGTCAGACAGTTCCAGCCTATACCGCTCTGTACAGATTCAAAAGAGTAGCAGAATACTTAGAAATTTCACTGAGAGGGAAAAAACTGACTCTTATTCTCTTCATGCCAAAGAATTGGTCATAGATGGCCACTGTCATTGGGCTAATATACTAAGAATTGATAAAGATTTGAAATTACCTCATAATGGCTATTGAGCTATTGTACTAAGAAAGTACTGTGAATCACACTAAATCCAGAGGAACTTACTTTTGATCTTGGTGTTGTTGACATTATTAAGATCAGGTTTGGTTTGTCTGTCCACCATGGCACACAGAGGTAGCAGCACAGGCTGGGTGGTGGGGTCTTCAGCATCACAAGAGGTGTCTATAAACTGGGACAGGAACAAAGAGAGTAACAATTTCATGAAAACTTCACGAATTAATTATGCTATATGCAAACATACATCACTAGACACTTACATCATCCCTAAGAAGATAGTTCAGGACTTGCTTGGATCCATCCTCACCCTGGTCTGTCTTGATCCCAGTCCTGATCCCCCCAGAGGATGAGGCAGACTTTGAACCTCCCCCTCTGCCACCACCACCTCCTCCTCCTCCTCCTCCTCCACTACTGCCTCCTACTCCTCCTCCCCCAGCACCACCTCGGTAGTCACTTGAACCTGAAACAGCCCACTAAAAGCTGAAGCACAAATCGTTAAACACAGGTGATCATAAATCCCCCTAATTGACAGACAGCTTTGCATTGATTACCAACACAGACTTCACATTTCACTTCTTTAGATCCTATCACTGTTAAGAATGTTGCTTCTATTCAAGTGATGACTCCAGACAGTGTTGTAATCGAGTATATATTGGGTGATGAATAGTCAGCGTAATACTTTGTCTATAATTACAACTCCTGGGCTTCTATACTGTACCTTTGGCTAATTTCTCTATGGGCCCTTGCTCAAAAATGGAATATGACTGTATGACATCTTGGGGCTTGCCCCTTCCTCTACCTCGTCCACGTCCTCTGCCCCTTTCTGATCCCGACCCTTTTCTATCAGCACTGTGTCCTCTTTTTCCTTCCTTCTTTGGGCCTTCATCTTGTACTTGACTGAACAAAAAAAACCATTTATTTCTCTCTCTTATTTTTTTTTTACAAATCTCATGAAAATAGATAAAATGATTAGTAGGCATTAATCAGCTGTCAAAGGGCATCATAAATAGAAACACGTTGGAAATAAACATGTATGTGGTATTGGGTAATCAAATGAAGAGACTGAAAGTGAGCTGTATAAAGTGAGCTGCATAAAGTGAGCTGTATGATGACTCAACGTACAACGGCAGAAAAGTCATCTAGCTGGGTCTGTGGAAGGTCGGGGGACAAACGCTTGAAGCCATCTACACACAGGCAGTAATGTGGCAAATCCCTGTAGGGTTTTCCAGGAGAGGAGTCCTTACACCCTGTGTGAGGCAGTCCTGACTAACTTTGTTTATTGGCAGATTTTGCAATCAAGCAATTGTATATAATGCATACCAGTACCTGGGTACTTGTATTAAGACACATTTTGGTAACATGTTGATATAATTAACAATTCAATTTTGTTATTTAGTCTCCCAAACCATTCTCACCATCTCACATCTCACAATACGTCAACCACCAAACATGCATGCACATGGATTGTGTACGAATTAAACTTGGGTGAGCAAAATATTTATAACCTTCCTATCTTGAACAGATTTATGTGTTCCAGGCCCAATGCTAACACTATACTGCAGTAAAGTGCAAGTGGGGAATATTTTGACTTGGGG